AAAAAACGCTTCGATGCAAATCTTTAGATAGTGTTTAATTTTAAAAAATTGGTGGATTATTCCAAAAGCTTCATAAACTGCTAGTTCCTCATTAATATCCTGATTAAGATAAAGTATGTCGAATGAAAAAGGGATTATTAAAAAATAGTATTTCCCATAAAAAAATTATATTGATCAATACACTTTTCAATAAGTTATAGCATTATAAAGTTAAAAATGTAAAAAATAAAATTGAGAATTTTCACACAATAATAGCATTTGGTAGCCATTTTCACCGTGAAGACAAAATAAAGTCCGAAATTTTTTTTTACATAATAAAGTAGATTCCTTTTTCTTTAATTTAAGATATATATATAAAAATGTCATACTTCCAGAACTCTTTCAAAAGTTANTAATTTAAGATATATATATAAAAATGTCATACTTCCAGAACTCTTTCAAAAGTTAAGTTGAAAAAGTTCTACTTTCTCTATGCATTTTTATATTTTGAATCCCCCCTGTATTAAGGGAAATGGTCCGATTTAAAAAAAAAGTATGTCGAGTTTGACAATCATGGTATAACTATTTAAGCAATATTACATTTATTTGAAATAATTTGTTGTTTTTCTGGAATACTTTCAAAAGTTAAGTTGAAAAAATTATTTTTTTTAAAAAAAGTTGTCATTTTAAATCCCGTCCTATCGACAGGTAAAGGGTCAGATATAAAAAAAAATATACCAAATCATAGGTAATGACATCCTGCATATCTAAAAAAAAGAATTATTTTGATATGTTTATTTTAAAAAAAGTTACGGCAGTTTTTAGTAAAAAAAATTGAAAAAATTTCGAATACTAGCCATTTTTAAATTTGTAATTTTTTCGGATTTTTCCTCCATTTACGGGGAACGAGGTAATTTTTTTCAATTTTTAAGGGTAATTTCTTCGATTAGATACGATTTGTGATCTTTTGACGTATCTTTGAAAGAAATCGGTTCGGTGAGAGCTGAGAAAAAGTGGTAACAGACACAAAAAAAAAAAAATACATCTTAGTAAAACCAATACCTTCTCAGTTTCGCATCGAAGCTAAAACTTACTAATACTACTTAAATAGTCGGTATTTAGGATTTATAATGGTAACATTGTTTTCGAAATACGTATCAGTGACTTTTCAGTAATTTTTGTGGCTTTTGAGTTATTTTTTAGTTATTAAATTAATAATATTTTTAATATATTTTTAATTTTATTATTGAGCTTTAAATAATGGTTTATAAAAAAAATTGAAAATCACTTTTTGCAAAATAAGTAACTGTTTTTTTTTATCTAAAATTTTTTTATTTATTATATTTTATAAATTATGATAATAGTAAGTCATTTTCTAAAAAAAATATAGCCATAGTCAAACTTTGACCATAAGTTACCATAATTTAACGTAATCGGATTGGTCTCAAATTTTACAGCAGATAAATTTTTGGTGGTTATAATTAAAAAAAATTGGGCCCTCGAAGAATTCGAAAATTTGTTGAATTCCTGGTATTCTTATATATTTTATACTCCCTTATATACGTATATTATGGTGGATCAAAAAAATTCGATCATTGAAATTTTAATGAGAACAATTTTAACTTTATTATATACATTATAATAAGTATTTTGTGAAAATGTGAAATTTTTAAAAAAAATTTTATCAGTCACTCAACGTGCTTTTTGTATTTTTTCAAAAATAATCGGAAAACGGCTTCTGTTATACAATTTTTGTGCAAATGTTATGATTAGTGTATCAGAGTAGTTTGATTTTTACTGTAGAATACAAATTTTTTTGTTTCAAAATGTTTATTAGAAAATTGATAGCGTAGATATTCAACGTTATTATATTTTATATTTCTAGTAGGGCTAGTAAACTGAAAATTAAAAAAAAATATATTTTCATACAGTTTGACTGATATTTATGTATATTATAAAAAGAAAAAAAAATATTCATTAATCCTAAAATCTTATACCATATTTTAAAAATAAAGCATTAGCTAATATACAGGGTGATTTTTTTATCATAACCCACTCAATTACTTGCAGAATAATAATAATTTAAACATTTTTTTTTTGTTATTATCTTTAGTTACACATTATTCTTGAATTATTAACTATGTAATACTTTTTATGTTTATCCCTTATGCCTGGTAAGGGTGTCAACTTTGTTTTTTTAAATGGTAACACATATTTTTGATTTAATAATATGTTTGAGTTTTTAATTCAATAGTAAATGGCATTTGAATTTTTAATATAACTTAATTCGTTTATTAGATATAATCATTTAAAATTTTCAAATTTTTAAGTTAATATATGTATATAATACACAAAGTATTACAAATACAGGTAGCTAATTGATTTTTTATAACATCGATATTAGTAGGTACACAGCATTGTTATTATCAATTGTAGTAAGACACATTGTTATGAGTTTATAAATACACTAACTGACAATACAGAAAATATATCTATTGATAATCATAATTGATAATAAACAATCCGTGACTAAGATAGCAATGTCATAAAAATCCAATTAGCTACCTGTATTTACAATCCCATGTGTATTATACATGTATATTAACTCAAAATTTTGAAACTTTAAATGTTTATATCTAATAAGCTAATAAAGTTATATTAAAAATTCAAANGAAAACGGCTTCTGTTATACAATTTTTGTGCAAATGTTATGATTAGTGTATCAGAGTAGTTTGATTTTTACTGTAGAATACAAATTTTTTTGTTTCAAAATGTTTATTAGAAAATTGATAGCGTAGATATTCAACGTTATTATATTTTATATTTCTAGTAGGGCTAGTAAACTGAAAATTAAAAAAAAATATATTTTCATACAGTTTGACTGATATTTATGTATATTATAAAAAGGAAAAAAAATATTCATTAATCCTAAAATCTTATACCATATTTTAAAAATAAAGCATTAGCTAATATATATGATATTCTTGAAAATATTATTAAATAACGGTTGATCATTAAATACTATTTAATTATTATTTTATTATTAAACTGTTCATTTATACTAACTAGAATAATTTTGGTTTTAGTTAGTCTGTTTGGTCCATTGTGAGCACCTCATACCGAATTATCTTGATTCGGTTTACCCATCTAAGAGTTATCTCCAAAGTGTTTACTAACTAGAATAAATAATATAAATATATAAATAAAAGTATAAATTGAATTAAAAATTATGAAAAAACAGTTAACTTATGTGAAGTCATAGGTTTACTTTATTTTAATAGTAATATTTTAAACGTTTTACAGTTTTATTTAAATAATTAAATTTTTTTTAAATAAAAGTTATGAGTTCTAGTTCATATTTTACTTTTATTTATAAATAAAGTTATCGTTTACCCCTCTCGTGAAACCAGGATGTTTAAAAGTTTAAACTTTCCATTGACCGTAAAAAACCGGATTTTTTTTTAAATTTGTCTCTATGGTTATAAAATAATGTACTATTATTTTATTCTATTAATATGGAACATGATTTCACTACTCTATTTTTAATAATTTATTTTTGTTTAATTAGATAACAATTGTGAAGTGAATGATGATTCAGACGTACTAATTCATTATCCCAAGGGTCACGAACCATTTAATAAATACCTTAATTAATTATTAATTATTAATTAATAAATTAATTTTCTTGTGCTAAATTTTTCTCATAGTTCCATTATTATATACAATATTTGTGTTAATATATATGCATGATTTAAATATTTAATAAAAAACAATTAATTATTACTAACAGTACATTTTTTTAGTATTCTCAAAAAATACGTATTACTTAACAATGTGTTTAGTAAACTTTATTTTAACGTGTTATACTTATACATTAATAATAATAAAAAAATGAAAGTAAAATTTATGTATTGTAACATAATAAATAATAAATAATATTGTAATCACCTCTAAGTTTATCAGAAATTATATCAGAAAAGGTTAATGTTTTTGACTAGATACAAATTGTAATAATTTGACGTATCGTTGAAAAAGTAGGTCAAGTTAGAGCAGAGAAAATAAATAATAGTCATAAAAAAATACCTTCTCAGCTTTGCATCAAAGCTAAAACCTAAAATTTCTAAAAAATATTCCATAATCCTAGAAAAATAATTTTATTTTAAATTTAATAATACAAAAATTTTAAAGTTAATTATAAATTTAAAAAATGCATGCGTTGATGAAAAAAAAGTTAATTTATAAATGCTGGAGAATTGCTAATTCTTTATTTTTAAGTTTCATTTCGGATGCTAAATTTCTATTTAGAAATTTTACTGTACAATAAATATTCTGAAACGAATAAAAAATTTAAAAAGAAAATCGTTATCAAAATTAGTACATAGATATTCTAGATAATATTTAACACTTGTAATTTAAGTTTGTCAATAACTCTTTTTTCAACACACAAAATTTTCTATGAAAAAGGTTTCTAATTTATACAAATAATTATAAAAATCTTTATGAGGCATTTGTAAATTTGTACAGTCTCGGATCTAAAAAATAAACATGTAGAGCTAATTGTTTAATTTCATTATTATAACGATATCCTACTATTATCTTATTCTTCAAATTGTAACTGTAGGTGATAAATATTCCTTACTTCGTGTTGGATAATTTTCTAATATATTGATTTTTGTCTCATTTATATTCAATAACGTCTCATCACTGTAGTCGCCCCTCGCGAGAAGAAATTTCTTATTCATATAAAAATTATTTTACTATATTATAAGTTTTAGCTTCGATGCAAAACTGGGAACATATTTTTTTGTGACTATCATTTATTTTCTCTGCTCTAACTTGAACTACTTTTTTCAACAATACGTCAAATGACTACAATTCGTATCTAGTTAAAGATATTACCCTCAAAAATTGAAAAAAAAAATTCTATTTAACAATTAAACAGTTGCTTATCCCATGTTCTCCATATACACAATTAAAATCATTCATTTATAATGTTTTCAAAGTATTTATTGACGAATCAAGTTTGACATGATAATTTGGTATGATAGGTTTCAACTAAAAAATTAAATCATTTTACTTTGTAATTTAATAACTGTTTTACTCTGTTTGTGTGTGCTACTACCTGAATATAATATTACACATTTTTGGGTAACATGTTGCTATATAAATAATTTCTAAAATAAATGAATGTTTATTTTCTCCTGAATTAACAATGGATTTTTACAACTATAATCAAATTTTATAATACGCTCAATTGAGTAAATTTTTTTAACAATTTTTGTTTTGATTGGTTCATTTAGATAAAGTAAATCATTTAAATTAATTCAGTTCTAGATATTTCAATTGTAGAATCTTTTGAAATACCAAAAGTTACTTAGAAATTATTTCTATGATTTCTACTTAAGTGTTCTATTACGATACAAAAGCAAAAAGATTATGAATTTTTCTGATAAATATACTGTAAATAGTAATTATAAAATTTCCTGACTGCATATTAATCTTATAAATACCATTGTTTTAATTCTCATAAATTTTTCTATTTAATATTGCCAATTTCAAACTTGTAATTGAGCTAAAAGTTATTGTAACATATTCAATTTTTTTTACTATAAACTTTCACAAAACTTTATCAAAAATTTTTCATCAACTTTAAAGAACCAAAAATATAGGTTAAAAATGAAAATTTGGACTGATTATTTTTAACATATTAAAAATCAAAATGAGAAATAATTTGAAAACAAATATATTTTTTCATTTGTAATGATATACATAGTACATCATTAATATCATAATAAATTATTTGTATACACAATAGATCATTAATGTCATAATGTATTATTTAAGACTTCAATCAATCAATCACACAAAATAAAATGTATACCAATAAAAATAAGATATACAGGGTGATTTTTTTATCATAACCCACTGAATTGCTTGCAGAATAATAATAATTTAAACATTTTTTTTTTGTTATTATCTTTAGTTACACATTATTCTTGAATTTTTAACTATGTAATACTTTTTAAGTTCATCCCTTATGCCTTGGAGGGGGGTCAACTTTGTTTTTTTTTATGGTAACACATATTTTTAATTTAATAAAATGTTTGAGTTTTTAATTTAATAGTAAATGGCATTTGAATTTTTAATATAACTTTATTAGCTTATTAGATATAAACATTTAAAGTTTCAAAATTTTGAGTTAATATACATGTATAATACACATGGGATTGTAAATACAGGTAGCTAATTGGATTTTTATGACATTGCTGTCTCAGTCACGGATTGTTTATTATCAATTATGATTATCAATAGATATACTTTCTGTATTGTCAGTTAGTGTATTTATAAACTCATAACAATGTGCCTTACTACAATTGATAATAACAATGCTGTGTACCTGCTAATATCGATGTTATAAAAAACCAATTAGCTACCTATATTTGTAATCCCTTGTGTATTATACCTGTATATTAATTCAAAAATTTGAAACTTTAAATGATTATATCTAATAAACGAATTAAGTTATATTAAAAATTCAAATGCCATTTACTATTAAATTAAAAACTCAAACATTTTATTAAATTAAAAATATGTGTTACCATTTAAAAAAACAAAGTTGACCCCCTTCCAAGGCATAAGGGATGAACTTAAAAAGTATTACATAGTTAAAAATTCAAGAATAATGTGTAACAAAAGATAATGAAAAAAAAAAATGTTTAAATTATTATTATTCTGCAAGTAATTGAGTGGGTTATGATAAAAAAATCACCCTGTACATTAATTATATAAAACAAACAGGAAATAATAAACAATATGTAATGGTAGCACATAAGATGAAGGGTAATAAACTATGTTTAATGATTATATGAGATATGATTGTATTTTATAATATGTAGATCATTATTGATGAAAATGTAATAAATAACATGTAATAAATTACGATTAATAAAGAAATAACGGTGGCGTCGGGGATTACTTCTTGCCTTTGAACTACGGTCAAATTTAATATAAAAAGCCAAAAATAAAGTAGTTTTATACACGTAAAAGTAAAGCAAAATATAAATTCTTTATTATTTTTATTATTTCTCCGTATAAATTACATATTTTATATTACATTATTCATATATTATATTTTAAAATCAAAGAACTACTAATCAAGATATAATAAAAAAAAATAAGAGTTGATGTTGCTTTTGGAATCATCCACCAATTTCTTAGAATTAAATACTATCTACAGATTTGCATCGAAGCGTTTCTTATGATAGTGATTTTAATCACTATTAGATATCATCTATACTTATCCCATCTATGCCTCGTCCACACTGTGCCTCGACTCCACTGTGCTACCGTTTTTTGTCTTCATTATATATTTAAAAAAATTTATTAATCATGAATTTATTGCTAACATATTTTTTTATTCAATAAAACATTTATTTAAATATATAAAATTTGTTGTTCAAACTAATGTACAATACCTTATTTGAATTTTTACAATTTTCTATCGAAAATTAAAAATAATGTGTAATTGACTTCATTGATAAACAAATAAACAATGTACAACCAAAAATTTAAAATTTAATTTAGATTGTACATCGTAATGACAATTTAAGTGTACTTACCAAAAATTACAGCTTCACATATTATAGATAAAACTCACTAAACTTCGTTTTGTAAATACTTTAAAATAAAAAGTAAAAAGTTACCGGTTTATAACGTGTTTTAATGTGAGTTCTTAGGAAAATTATTTATAAAATTCATATAATTTTTATACTAGGTATTTGACATACAATATTTATTTAATTAAAATTATTTCAATTTTTTTTATGACATTTCAATGAACGCATATAGCAGATGTATTAAAATAAATTTAAATAATTACTTCTTTAAATTTAATTTATTACTTTACAGTTATTCTAAACTAAATATGAAATAAAACTTTTTATGTATTTTGAATTGATAAATTTATAAAGATTTTAGATTAAATTTTGAGAATCTAATTTTTATCTTAATTTTTTTTATAATAAGTTATAAGGTATGTAGTCAGTCATGTACTTCGGTGCGAATACAGGTTATCTTTTAGAAGTTTCATTTGTAGTTTGTTTAAACTGATGATTTTGAATTTCCTGACTGACATCGAAATCAAAATAGAAATCATTTATTAGATTGTCAACATCAAACACGAATTCATCATTTACAACCTGATCGACTGTAGTTTTAACTTCATTTTTCTGTTTCTTATAAAAATGAGTATATTTGTTAATGTTGCAAATATATTGTAAAAAATTAAAAAATTGTATTGAATTTATTTTATTTTTTAATTTATATATTATATTTTAATTCATAATAATGCTACTCAATCTTAAACTAAGATACTTATTTTATTTCAATTATTTATTTTTAAATATTATTAATAACTTAAGCATTGTCGTTAACACAACAAACAATTATTGGTTATCTTTATTAAAGCTATACTCAGTATACGTCTTAAATTTATTGAAATTAGTCAGTCTGTTTTTTATTTTTTCGGCTATGAAATACAAATATTTTATTTTGTTATAGTTTAATTTTTTATAATTGGGACACTTTATAAATTTTTTATCCACAGCGATTTGTAACAGTTTAAAAACTGTAATAAATCAGTTATGAGACTCGGGAGTAGCGAATTAGGTATAGCAGATTTGAAAATATATCACTCCACTGATATAATTCTCCTCAGTGTTCAAGTTGTTGTGCGGGCCCACGTGGTAAAAGGAATTAAACTTAATGAGAAAAAGAAAACACT